CTGTGAATAGCTTCACTAGGCATATAATGATACTTTTAGGTAACATAAATAAGATCGCTATCCTGCTTACTTGTGGACAGTTATGGTCCTCCTGGCTTACTCCTGGGTGCATTTGTATCATTAATCTTGCACTACAGAGTGGCCTTACGTATATTTAAAATATTTTTTCTAACGGCTCACGCGACGATTCTTCTGATGCAAGCTTTTGCTGTCGCTCATAGTCAACTGCAGGTAGAAATTGTTTGGACATCGTTCGCTTACGACGTGACAGAGGATAGTGACAGCCTGTCGCGGATGTTCAGGTTTATGATTGTTTACGATTCTTATTATTGGCATGGTAAAACGAACTAACCGACCGAATAAGTTTGTTACTGTGTTTTTTATGGCAATCAACTTAACAAATTTGCGAAAATCAATTTAAAAAGAAAACTAAATCGACCCTTATTTTTACGACAGCAATGCGATTTTCGCATACCTGCGTTCATCTGATTTTAATGGACGGAACGGAATGGACGGAAATGTTCCGTACTCTGGAGAGGTATAATTTAAACTTTTCTGCCTTACACAGAGGCTGCGATTTTTTCACAATTGGGTCAATCGAATTATTGAACTCTGCCAAACCCCTAACAACCAAGGTTAGCCCAGTTGTGCATCCGATGACTAATTAGGAAATCCTGTCTGGCAGTCAGCTTACTGCGTCCTTATTGGTGGATTCAATACGTGTAGTAGAGCTTGCCAAGCAAATTGACCCAAGTGTGATTAAATTCACGGCGCACAGTGAGCCTCGTAGCTCAGTGCTAGAGCGTTGGCTGCGCAAGAGCTTTCCCTGCTGTGTGGGTTCGACTCCCACGGAGGCCGCGAATTTTTCACAATTGGGTCAATCGAATTAATGCCAATTTCCAGCACAATGTGCATAAACAAGAGAGTTTGATCCATAGCGTCTAGTAGCCTAGGTACTTCCTCGGACTTCAAGAACGTTGGATATTGTCCGAGTTAACCCATTTAATTCCTTCAGTAAACAGCTCCGAAGTGAGCTCTTCTTTACTAAACAGCATTTTGCGTCACAAATAAATTCCCTGAACGAAATTAACGACCTCAAACGTATGTTAGACCACGCCCTCAAAATTTGATCTTATCGTTTTACGAGTTGGGCACTCTACTGTAGTTTAGGAAAGCTTACTGAAGTAGGATTGTAGTATCGATTTTTGTGCAGCGCAATCCCATGGGAGTTCGGCTACGTCAAAATGTTGGCTTTCGAAAAAATCCAGATTTGATAGGAAAGGACTACTTACTTAGTGCATATTTTGCTATTGATTTTCGTTATGATT